CGGTGTCTTTTGACATCCTCGACACCAAGTTCGACATGATTCTAGGCATGTCTTGGTTGCGTAGCGCCGATCATCCGGTGAACTTCCATGACCGAACCGTTCACATCCGTGATCGGAACGGAGTGTAAATCCCATGTACGGTCGCGACCCCTCACACTTCAATTGCTTTCCGTTGCGAGAATTCGCGACGCCATTGCTCGGAATGACGTCGAGGAGATGRGCCTTGTATTCTTGCATGCTCTCCCCTCGCCGGACRGACCAGCCGCGTCACCGCCGGACCCACGCATTTCTCACCTCTTGGACGAGTATAGAGACGTCTTCGAGGCTCCCACCGGAACGRTTCCGGATCGGCCCATACGTCACGGGATCACTCTCGAGGCTGGCGCCATCCCTCCGCGTGGATGCATCTACCGCATGAGCGAAGAGGAACTCGAGGTGCTTCGCGCACAACTCGATGATCTTCTCGACAAGGGCTGGATTCGCCCTAGTTGCTCGCCATACGGTGAACCTGTTCTCTTCGTCCCGAAGAAGAACAAAGATCTACGGTTATGCATCGACTATCGGAAACTTAACGCACAAACCGTAAAGAACGCTGACCCTCTCCCTCGGATTGATGATCTCCTTCAGCGGGTAGGCGGCGCGACGTACTTCTCGAAGTTGGACTTGAAGTCAGGTTACCACCAGATTGAAATCCAGCCTCAAGACCGGTACAAGACCGCGTTCAAGACGCGGTACGGGCGTTTTGAGTGGGTTGTCATGCCCTTTGGCCTCACCAATGCCCTTGCAACTTTTCAAGCAGCAATGACGATTGAGTTTCGCGACTTGCTCGATCGCAGCGTCCTCATCTACCTTGATGACATCTTGGTTTATAGTAGGACGTTGGACGAGCACATCGTACACCTTCGCGTTGCTCCGAATCGTTTGCGACTAGCCAAGTACAAAGCGAATCTCGACAAGTGCGAATTCGCCAAGCAAGAGCTTGAGTACTTGGGTCATTTTGTCACGCCGAAAGGCATTCGTCCCTTAGCGGACAAGATCCAAGCCATCGTGGATTGGCCGGAACCCCGTTGCACGACGGATGTACGCTCTTTCATGGGTTTGGCTGGATATTATCAGCGATTCGTCGAGTCATACTCGAAAGTGGCCGCTCCTTTGTCGAGACTTCAGTCTCCGAAGGTGCCCTTCGAGTTCGACGACGCAGCCCGWGGCRCGTTCMCTACGTTGAAGGCAGCAATGCAAGCCGCACCTGCCCTCCGTATATACGACCCCACCCTACCCACCCAAGTGACTACGGACRCTTCGGGATACGGTATTGGTGCGGTGTTGGAACAGTGTCACGAGGACGGTTGGCATCCGGTTGAGTATTTCTCCCAAAAGGTGCCTCTCGTCAACACTCTCGACGACGCTAGGAAGAAAGAGCTACTCGCGTTCGTCACCGTTCTCAAACGGTGGCGCCACTTTCTTCTCGACCGTCGACGTTTTGAATGGAATACGGACAACAATCCGTTGACCTTTTATAAAATGCAAGACACGGTCACTAGCACGATCGGTTGATGGATGTATTACATCGACCAGTCCGATTTTGACCCGTGCCACATTCCCGGTCCCGCCAATCGAGCTGCGGACGCCCTCTCACGACGGCCCGACTTTTGTGCCATTGTGACCACGGCATTCGACCTCGATGACGATCTGCAGCCGCATTTCGTCAAAGGCTACAAGTCCGATCCGACTTACTCTAAGCTTTACGCGGAGCTTTCATCTGATCACCCGCCGGCTAGCCACTATCGAATTTCCGACGGGTTCCTTCTCCTTCACACGAGAGGAAAGGACTTGTTAGTTGTGCCCCAAGATCGCATCTTACGGACTCGTCCTCTCGGCGAATTCCACGACGCACGACTTTCGGCACACCTTGGCGTGAACCGCACACTAGCACGCCTCCGCSAGCGTTTTCACTGGCCCGACGTCCTTCATGACGTCACGAGGTACATTGAGTCATGTGCAGTTTGCCACYGWAACAAGGGTCGATCTYKAGTCCCCTTCGGCGAACTGAAACCGTTGCCGATCCCTCGGGCACCACGCCTCTCSATTGCTATGGACGTGACAGGCCCGTTTCCCCGCGATCGCCACGGCCATGACGGTATTCTCACGGTCGTTGACCGTTTGAGCAAGTATGCTCACTTCCTTCCTTGCAAGTATCATGCTGCAGCGCCTGAGCTCGCACGACTCTTGCACACCGGTTGGATTACCAACCAAGGTGTTCCGGAAGACATAGTGAGCGACCGAGATACTCGTTTCATGTCAGCCTTTTGGACTTCCCTCATGGCTGAGTCCGGTACGACAATGAAACCGAGATCGGCTCGGCACCCGCAGACGGATGGTCAGACGGAATGAGTGCACCATACCGCTCAGATGATGTTGCGTACGCTCATCCGTCCCGACCAGAAAGATTGGGTTGACCGGCTTCCCGACATCGAGTTCGCCTATAACACTTCGGTGCACCCGGCGATCTGCGTCACACCATTCGAGTTACATCATGGTGGAGAGAAAGCACGGATCTTCGCTGATCTCCTTTTGCCACAGGCTGCCGACATAGACGTCCCTTGCTCTCCGGCTTCCGTCCGGAAGTACCGGGACTTGCTGATCAAAGCCCGCRCAAATATGCAAAAGGCTCAGATCCGCATGCAGCAGCAAGCTAACCGACATCGACTTCCATGTCCTTTCTGCGAGGGAGACCTTGTTTGGGTCCTCTCCGAGGACTTTGCACTCGAGCAGGACGTTTCACGCAAACTCCTTCCGAAATGGTTCGGACCATGGGAAGTCACTTCTGCCGTTGGAGACGATCCCGCAGGTCCTTCCTTCGTGATCAACATTCCACCGCACCTGACAGTGCATCGGGTCTTCCACGCATCGAAGCTGGCCATCTACACGCCACCTTCAAATGACGAGTTTCCCAGACGCCGATCACAGGATCCGCCCTCCATGGACGGACATCAGGAAGTGGACCGAGTCATCACGCACTGCAAGTATGGCAACAAGCCAAGGCAATACAAAGTCACATTCAAGCAATGTGCGCCTGATGACACTCGGTGGATCTCCAGTACAGATTTGCAGACTTCTGCACCCCTCATCTTCACAGACTATGAGAAGCGACGCCTTGCTAAGGACGCAGCTCGTCCCGCCCGACCCACCCCGGTATCGGATAGACAAGTTCGCCCTCGCAGGTAGCTCGGTCTTTTAAGAGGGGGAGTGTGTTACATCTTCGACGTCACACGGGTCCTACCGGACCCGACTTAGGGCTAGAGGGACACATCAGGGCCTAAAGGCCCGACCTTGGGGGTACTACAGGCCATAAAGGCCTCACCTTGGACCAGACCCAACGGGCAGGCCCAAATGACATTACCGTTTGGGCGTGGCGGCGCTCTTGAGGCTGCCGCCCGCCGGTTGGGGCTGAAGCGTCCATCTGGACGGTTCAGGGCACGGCCAGGCCTCGCAGCATTGAGGCCGGCCTCTGCCCCACCGGTACATAGAACTGGTCGAGCCTCATTGAGGCTATCGACCTACCGGCATTCTACCGGTACGGTATGGTACAGTGCTAATCACCGCTGGCGCTATCTTTAGCGCAGGAGCAGCGAGGAGCAGGCAGCGCAGCATTAGCGCAGCAGTAGCGAGCAAGCAGCAGCAGCGGCGACTGAGTGCACCGGCGGCCATAGCCGCTTGAGGTATCGGGAGTCGGAGGCCTCTCTCCTCCCTCCCCTCGCCAGTCCCCTCTCTCTCTCTCCTCCTCGGCTCCTACGTCTTCTTCTTCTTCTTCTTCTTCTCTTCAGACTTCTTCTTCTTCTTCTTCTTCTTCTTCTTCTTCTTCTTCTTCTTCTTCAGACCAGAGACCTATGCTAGTTGGACAGAGATCAGTGTTGGACTTCGGTGGTATGAGACTGTGGTACTTACCGGATTGGAGACTTGGAGATCGTTGGGGTTGATACTTGGCGACATCGCAGTTCAGACACCGGTTACATTTGGACTCGGTATCCCCGACATTGGTGACCTATGGTCCTCGACATTTTGATCTTGTTGGATGACATTTTGGACTACCATATCGGTGACCTATCAGATCCTATCTCGGTGACTTTCGGTGCTGTCTACCTCCCCCCACCTCTTCGTCTCTCCTCCCCCATTCATCTGYGTATGTGTGTACGGGGCTGAGCATCTTCTATGTATGGCTCAGACCCCACCACCTCACGATTGTATGTGTGTGGAGTGATGCTATGTGAGTCAGTCTATGTGAGCCAGTCCGTTCATCAGACTTTCGTTGCATATATGCTCATCCTACATTGGTTGATCCTTGGTTCTGCCCATACTCATTGGAGTATGTAACAATATCCCTATACTCTTAAAGCAATGAGCGGGTCTCGCATGACGTTTCTAATGCGAGACCCCGTTCTCAGTTGGGCCCAGGCCGATTCGGGCCACGTTTTTTTCTGGTCGAATTATTTCCAAGTTTGTGTCCTTCTTGGCAGCGACTGATAGACACCTTAGTGCAAGGAAATAAGTAATGCGAACAGCAATAAACCAAGTTGTGACATCTCACAGAAGGCCAGACATCATTGAGTCGAAATTGAAAGCAAAAACCAAAGCGAGATTCACACCAAATAGGAACTAGTAAAAGCACTGTCTCGTGATAATGAAAGTCCTTCCGTCGCCGCCAATCACCAATGCCGACTCTACCTCCTAAAACTCCTATCAGACTATTCATTCTACTTATGTCAGCAACTGGTTCACATGTCATCCCAATGCCGCTTGAAGACTCTGATCAAACAGCCTGCCTTTCTCAACACCAGGTTCGTGCCTCGTCACACTCTCTCCTCCTTCTCCCGCTCCCTGTTCCACCAAGGACCTCTGCCATTCCACCACTGGATATGGCTTCCGCTCTCCCTCTCTCTCTCTCTCTCTCATTTGTGTGGCATACACGGTTTCCCACATGGTTCCCTACATGGCCCGTTGGTAGGGTTCGGGGTCCTAGGGGGATTAGCATGATCATTAGTGACTGTCACCAGGTCTGTTCTTAGGTTAGTGTCGATTCGGCCTGGATTAGGGCCCGCAGTGTTGAGATCTTCTACTGGGTCCAGTTTAGAACCGGCATCGTTTGGAGGCCAGTTAGGCCGTTCGCAGGTTCAGGCCCTGGTGTGTTTCCGGTTTGGCGCCAGGCCCCTGTTTCGTTTCTGTGCCAGTGGATTCAGACCCAGGCCCAGTTTTGAATTGGTTGGGCGCCAGTTTGGAGGCCGGACTTCGGCGACCAGTGCTATATAAAGCTGGTCCTCCATCAGTCCGCTAGGTAGTCTTCAGTGGTAGCTTTAGTCGACGCACTGGGCGCAGTAGTATTCGAGTAGAGCGCTGAGCGCTAGCAGAGGGATGACAACACCAGTCTGTGGGAGCTTCGAGCTGCAGCTACGCTGCGACTGAGGTTAGAGGAGTAGGATGACGCGGAGGCCAGGGGACTCAACTGGCCTCAACCTGTTCCCTTGTAATTGCTGCAACACTGCACCAATCCCATACCGACCAGCGTCAAGGTGTGTAATCTCGAGGACTGGATGGTGCATCAGAGCAGACTTCAATTGCTTGAAAGCCCACTCACACTGCTTGGTCCAATCCCAAGGGGTGCGAAGGCGTGTGAGATCGGTCAAGGGAGCAACTAAGCTGCCGTAGTTCTTGACAGATGGCCTACGGTAGCCTGTCATTCCAAAGAAAGATCTGACCTCAGGCACTGACGTTAGGTGATTTTAAAAACCACAAAAGGCACTCACTTCTTTAGGACAGCTGTTCACTATGTTGTTCTTGATGAATACATGGCCACCTTTCTTATGGTGGAATTGGTTGCTACCATATCTTTGATGATGGTTGTCGTGAAGATCAATAGGCCAGTAGCCCCTTTCCGGCAGCTTCGAAATCTTGCAAGTAGGCTTTTAGAGACTGTTTCCTGTGGTTGAGATTCCCATGGACTATCTGTATCAGAGCATGTGGTTTGTGGTACCAGCTGTTTTAAGCTGTGGGGTACCTAGTGAAGTGGGGGAGTTTCATGGTGCAGGCTCGGTTTCACAAGCTAGCCAACTCTACTTAAGAACGAGAGTTGTATGCTCGACGCATGGCGTCGAAACACTGGAAGCATTATCTTCATGGCAGGCATTTTGGAGCCCTCGCATTCCCTCCTCTTTGACTTTGAAAGCTCTCTGAGAACTGTTCAATCAAATTCAAAGCCCACTCACATTGTTGTACTACTTGAGGTGCAGTCTTGAGCAAATTGCCCCTTGTGAAACACCAATCCTCTTTGGGATCCATTTGATGTCTGAAGGCCACCCTGCATCCGCGGTTTTGATGGTCTTCCTCTTCCACTTCCAGGCCGCTTCAGTACCGGCATCACATTGTGCTCTTAGTTTTGGTCAATGTCCACATACCCTGCCTTTCACAGCTCCAAACTCCTTCCTTTCCCAGAATCTGACCAGTTTTCCACTTGGTGATCAATGCTGCCCCCTACCACGGACGGCTACGTGAACATCAACCGTATCATTGAGCACAAGGTGCCGCCAGTACTGAAGCTACCTAGAAGAGGACACCATTCAATCTGCAGATGCAGTACAGCGTGGCGTTTAGACATCACCTGGATCCCAAAGAGGATCGGTGGTTCACAAGGGACGATCTGATCAATAGTCAAGACTGCACGTCAAATAGTGCATCAATGCAATCAGACTCGTACTCATTCACACTTTTCATGCGTGTGAACAGCAACGCAGCAAACTGGCGACATGCGCCCAATCGAAACTCAGAGATATGGCTTCCAGATAAGAGTTCACTTTCAACTGGCTATGGCGACTCAGCGCCCAAACAACTCACTGTTCACACCCACTGGATCACCCTGGATACCCCACACACGTCACTCTGAACACTCGAACACACACACACACTTACTACTAACTACAGCTATGGCAGCTATAGCTGCCTCTAACCTATCGCTATGCTAACTCCTCCTCTCTCGCCCACTGCGTCCTCCGGGCTCATCTGCAGACCTCCTTGCACAAGTCGTTGTGGCAGCGCTTCTGCATGGCTCACGCAGGAATGAAAAAAAGGCTGGGCGCTGCCCCTTCATTTATACTTCGAAAACTCGTTGGTCTGCCCTTTGCCATCGGCCCATGGTGTGCACAGTCCCCCGTGGTACTTGCTGGACCGAACTGGGACTGACTGGACCTTACCGCTGACTGTCTGTGGACTCACTGCTATCCTACCGACGACGTACTGCAATTGCACTGCAGTTCAGTCCACCACTTGCCTCGCCACTTGCCCACTTGCCTACCTTCTAGAAGGACTACAGCTAAGCTTTTGGACTCACTAAGACTTCTACTCTATAGATCAACAGATCGAACCCCTGCTACCTACGGACCTATGACAGACCTATCAATTGTCTAGGAATACACAGGTCACAGGTTCAACTCTCGGGGTCTGCACGGATACTGTACATGGGGAAGGCGAGGTCTAGGGGTCGAACCTTGGGTACGGCATCTGCTACTGCTGAGAGGTGAAAACCGTTTCACTCCCGCCGTCCTAAATTCGAGGTCCTCCGAGAACATCTTAGTCCAAGGCGGGACCTTTACCTTTCCTGTCTCGCTCATATGCTCTGACTATGTCGGGAGCTGTCTCTAGAAGTTCTGTTCTGGTGAACCAGTGGTCGTCCTCCGGTTCTTGATAGGCAAACTGGACCTTATACTGCTTCTGGGGACGACCTCTACCTCCTGTTCTAAACACATCCTCGTCTACAATACCTTCAATGTCATAACTTTCGTCCATATCCGGAGGAATCATAGATCGTCTTGAAGGGAACTGTTGGCTTGTGACACACGACAACAACTTTGAAGCGTGAAACACAGGATATGTGTGGAGGTGTAATGGGATTTCTACGGTGTAGGACGGTCCATCTTCTCCGCCCTTGAATTCTAGAACCGGCCACGGTCCTCTGTATGCAGGCAGTAACTTCTGTAAGATGTTTTCCTTAGGTGCAAACTCTTTAGCCTTGACCCATACTAAGTCGCCTACCTGAAACTGCGAAGGGCGGCAGTGCTTATTAGCCTGCTCTATCATTCTGTGTTGGGCCTTCCTGAGGTTTTCAACAACAGTTGTTAATTCTTTCTCATGCTGTATCGCAAACCCCCTAGTACCGGGCGGTCGTCTCTGAATTTGATCCCAGTTCAGTCCTTCAAATGCTCTACGTGGTCTAAAGGACTTGTGCAGTTCATTGGGAGTGCGGCAGGTGGATAGATGCACGCTATTGTTGTATGCACTAGCTACCTTAGGCAACATCTCATCCCAGTTGATCTGGTCTGGTCTAATGTACATGCGCAGAACTTGCTGTAGGATCTTGTTCATCTGTTATGTCTGACCGTTAGTCTCTGGGTGGCGGCCGGACAACATTAACAACTTAGATCCGTAGACTCTCATGAGTTCTTGCCAGTTCTGGCTGGTGAAGCGACTTTCTCTATCACTAACAATTGACAATGGGATTCCATTCTCACTAACCCAAAAGTCAAAAAACTTTTGTATCACTAAATTGGTACGTGCCTCTGCAGACAAGGGAACAAACACAGCATACTTACTAAAACGGTCAACTATGACCATGACTTGGCTCTTACCATGTTTGCTCTTGACTTGGGTGTCCATGAAGTCTATGGACGTCGAGTCTCCCGACTGATCCGGAATAGGCAAGGGTCTGAGAAAACCTAGGGGCGCGCGTGTAGTAGACTTATTTCTTTGGCATACTTTACAACTGCGGACATACTCTATGCAGTCATTCTTCATTCCTGGTCAGGTGTACCCACGCATCAGGTTGGCTAAAGTCTTTTGCCAACCGAAATGTCCCTCAGTATCGTGGCATTCCCCTAGGATCAGACTACGAATCTCTTCGTTGTTGGGAACGCACAGGCGGTCAAACACATTAGTCTTCTCAAACAACAACCCGTCTGTAGTGCGGTAGTCTGGTTCAGTTTCTGGGGCTCTCTAACTTTTTAGGAGGTCGCTATAGATAGGGTCCTGCGCATATGCTTGCTTCACTTTCTCCTGCAGGTCTCTCCCTATATCTAGATAGTGTACTATGTCTCCAAAGTAGTCTGATCTCCTACTCAGAGTGTCCGCAACTACGTCGTACTTGCCCTTTACTGGCTTGAGCTCAAAGTCGTACTGGTCTATCTCAGCGGCCCACCTAGTTAGCTTAGGTGTCATCTTGGCCTGGGTCTTTAACCATCTAAGGGTCTCGTGATCAGAATACACTTTGAAATGCCTCCCAAGCAGGTAATGCTTCCAATGGTCGAGAGCCTGCCTGAGAGCGCAGAGTTCTCTCTCGTACGTCGAGGTGGCTACCTTCTCTGAGGGCATCCTCGCGGACATGAATTCTTTGGGTCTATAGCCATGGTCGTCATCCTGCTGCAACACGGCGCCTATCCCATACTGACTTGCGTCCGTGGTGACGACAAATGGCAATGACGGATCAGCTACTTTGAGGACAGGATATTCTATTAACGCGCGCTTTAACTTCTTGAGCGCAAACGTACAATTTTTGTCCCATTGCCAGATTGCTTCTTTCTTTAGCAACCTGCGCAAGGGAGCGGCGATAGAACTTTCTATAGTAGTTAGCTAGGCCTAGAAACGACCGCAATTTTGTCAATGTGCGGGGCGTTGGCCAATCTCTAATCGCCGCTATCTTGCTGTCCTCTGGCTTAATGCCATCTCCGTCTAATACATGGCCCAAGTACAGAACTTGTGTCTTGGCCCACTCGCACTTTTTCGCGTTGATCTTGAAGTTTGATTCCCTCAACTTTTCCGAGACCTGTCTCAGATGACCCTAGTGCTCCTGGAGGGTCTTACTGAAAACTAAAATATCATCTAAATAAACTACTACAAACTTGTCTAACCATGGCCTAAACAGGTTGTTCATACAACGTTGAAAGGTGGCTGGCGCGATAGTTAGTCCAATAAATAAACTACTACAAAATTGTCTAACCATGGCCTAAACAGGTCGTTCATACAACACTGAAAGGTGGCTAGCGCGTTAGTTAGTCCAAAGGGCATCACTATGAACTCATAGTGCCCATATCTAGTCCGGAACGCAGTTTTGTACTGGTCATCAGGATGGACCTCTATTTGATGATAACCGGACTTCAGGTCTATCTTAGAAAAATACTTGCAACCCTGCACCCGATCTAAGAGATCGTCTATCCTGGGCAGCGGCTCAACATTCTTCACTGTGATAGCATTCAAACCCCTATAGTCTATACACATACGGAGCTCTCCTTCCTTTTTCGGGACAAATGAGATAGGTGCTCCAAAAGGAGACGAACTGGGCCTGATCCAACCTTTCTCAAGGAGATGATCTAACTGCTTGCGCAGCTCCTCTAACTCTCTAAGGGACATCCTGTAGACTGCTCCCTTAGGAGTTCTACTGCAAGGCTCTATCTCTATCCTATGCTGGATGGGTCGCGGTACTTCACCTGTCGGCGACTCAGTCAAGTCTTTGAACTCTTCCAACAACTTGGCGATGGTTGGATCTGTGCAACTCACTTCTTCCTTAGCCTCAGTGACAGGTCTGACATAAACTACAAAGACATGTTCCTCTAATCGCTCCTTCTTCACTAACCGCGCGAACGCGGGAGCACTGAGACAGCAATGTGCCAAGGTGTTATCTACACCTGACACATGAAACAGGCGGGTGGTCTTAACATCGCCTGATGGACTAGGGAGCCTACACTCATGCTCTCTCAAGTGGAGTGTGGCTCATGCTGCCTCTCCCCAATCCATTCCCAATACTACATCGAAAGGAAGGTCATTCTGCACGAGGAGAGTCAGGGAATGGAGAACTTTCTCCACCTTCCCATCTTTCTCTAGGCGAAGGTACGCCTGGACTCCTTCTACATAGTCCTCAACACGCATTGTGTTGTTGTCCTCGCATTGTGCGGTTGTCTGCGAGGACGTTGACTATGGGGTCTACTAACTATTGGACTTTTAGTCCTAGCCTCAGCTTTTTCAGCGCTCTGCGGCTAATGTAACTACGGGTGGCCCCTGAGTCCCTACTCTACTCCTAAAAACCTCTACATCTACCAAAATCAGTTGTCCCTTACTCTCCTTCTTCATCTTGGCCCAGGCTGGCATCCTCTCCTTTAGCTCTTCTGCCACACCTGTGAGGGACGTGCCTAAAGAGACGCTAACACAAGCAGTCTCTGGACAGCTATCTAGGCACGGGCCTGCAACCTCTGCCATAGGGTCATGTGGGTTGGGAGTGTCCTGGTCGCGCGCGCGCACTTTTCCACATGGCCTTGAAGTAGGGGCAGTTGCAACCCCTACTTGCGGCTGCCTTTTGACTGTTGGGCAGCCCAACGGGCCTGTCTATACTTAGGACAAAATTTATAACGTGAGCCGTGTCACCACAAAACACGCACTGACCCAAGTTCACGCGTTCCTGCCATAACGCCTGGTCCAAGCCCAAATCTTCCCAGGGCCTGCCCTGTGGCAAGCCTAGGTGCAATCCTCCTTGAGGTGCCCTTCCACCTCTTCGCTGCGGGGACTGGTTGGAACCTTGGCGATTTAGCGGGGAACCTTGACCCCTACCTCCCACTTGGCGGTTTCCCTGTCCGCCAACCCCCTGTGCGCCCGGTCCACGGCCTCCTATGGCCTCGCCCCTTTGGCCCTGGCCTCCTCCTCTACCTTGCGGCCTCCCTCCAACCGCGACAGCAGTATAAGACCTCCCCTGTCCCACACTACTGTCCTTTTCCTCTAGGCCTATGGGACCTCATCAGTACCACCTTCCTCTAAGGTAAGGATCATGTGATCCTTGGCACTCACCTGGCGTGAGATGGTACGACCTTTCCACTTCTTTCCCTTATCTAAGTCCCTATGCCAAAACGTGGTAACTGGCATGGACTTTGACTCATACAGGACGACCTCTCTACTCAACGCATCATAAGTGATGCCGGCCTGTTGAGACTTGTCAAAGAAATGCCCACGTAGGGCCTCTGGCATGGCACGATAAAATAACTGGACCAATTGGGTCTCAGTGACCCCATGGTCCGGGACGGCTACCAAGTCGTCCATGGTACCCTTGAGCGCTCTTGCACTCCGCCATTGTCGCGAGTGGATTGTCTGCAACTTGTCAGAGGCTCTAACGCCTCTCGTTGGGTCTGCGAATCGCTCCTTCAGGAGCTTAAGGAATTGAGGAAGGGGGGTAACTTTAGAGTAAGCAACCAGGGTGTTTTCACAACCGGCTTCGCGCGCAAGGGACCTGGCGAAACTAGCCGCTTCATCCTTGAGGGCGTGGAAGGCCACGAGGACTTGTTCCTCTGACAGGATATGCTGTAAATAGATATAACTATTGACACTGGCTTCCCAGTTGTCAAAGTTCTCCTTCTTCTTTCCCCCATACGCATCTGGGAACTTAAGTTTCACTGGGTCCTTACG